GGTGGTGATTGCTTTGTCTTAGGTGTTTATCTTTTTGTTTTTAGTGTCTAGGACCGGTTTTGTGTGTTAGTCTTGTGTGTTTTTGTCGATTCCCCCTCGTGAAGTTCGATGCTTAGTCAATTTGTTAACTTTTGTTGGATAAATTGTTTATACTATCTTGTTTAATGCCTCGTGATGATTCGAATTCCGGCAATTCTAAGTAATTGAAGATTCGTGAATGTGAAACACATGATTTAGAATTACGTCTTGTTTTGTCCTTTGCAATGCTCGATTGGTCCATACTTTGAACTTGCGTGCTTTAAGGTCTCTTGTTTTTAGCATACATGTATTCTCATTTTGTACACTCCGTGACATTTTGTTTTGATCATATGTTGGATGAAGTTCACGTTGTTGTATGGAATTGTTGCCTTCTCGAAAAAAAAATAAATCAAAAGTGAGTATCGCGGGGTCGTACGGATTACACTCCTCTTGTTTTGATTCATTCTGGTGAATTATAATAATGAGTGCGGGAAACCGGTCTAGGAAACTCGAGGTGAACCGTCGAGGTTAAACCTAGATAATATTGTCCGGAAATCATCGTTCGGAAAAAGTAACTCACGAAAAAATTATTTATGTTGGAGTTCGTGGGAGTTTGAAGGATTAAACTCCACTTGAACCGGTTCGTCTATTATAGATAAACCGGGACAACGAGTACGGAAAACCGACTTAGGAGGCTCGAGGTAAACCCTCGAGATTATACCTAAGTAATAATCGTCCGGATAACTCTCATTTGGAAAAATCGACACTCATTGAAAAAAAAATAAAATAAAAATAAAAAAGATGAATAAGAGAGGGAAACATTCATTTGTGCCTTGAATATTCTTGATATGTGATTAGGCTCTTTTGGTCCCATGAGTTTATGATTCATTGTTTGTTGGGACATCGATGCGTGTGTGTTCTCGAGTAGATTTGTAAAAGTACGCTTGTGATGAGTCGACTATGTGCGGTAGAGCATTGGACGGTTTTGTTTTGTATGACACTAAATTGTTGGGGAACGCATGATCTAATGGATGTTACTAAGTATTGCGGGTAAGATGAGCTAGGCATGGCTTGATGAGTGATGAACAATTAAATGAATTTATCATTTCAAAATGTAATGATATTGTTTGCTTGAGGACAAGCAAAAACCTAAGTGTGGGGGAGTTGTTTGTTATGTTTTTGTTATGCTTGAGGACAAGCTAGGCATGGCTTGATGAGTGATGAACAATTAAATGAATTTATCTTTTCAAAATGTAATGATATTGTTTGCTTGAGGACAAGCAAAAACCTAAGTGTGGGGGAGTTGTTTGTTATGTTTATGTGTGTTTTTCGTGCGTTTTTTTTTGCTTGAGTCGAGTCTTTTTAGGTTCGGTTTGTGAGTCCCGGTCCATGTTTGTTCATTTTTAGTAGCTTTTCTTTTTTTGAGTCGTTCTCGTATATTTTTCTATCTTCCTTGTGCGTTTTGGTTATTTGTAGGCTCGGAGGGAAGAAGTAGTCATCTCGTGATGCGCCGTCTCGAATACGTAGTTATGGGGTTTGCCGGTGAATTCAGTGTTGATTAAGAGAATCGAATTTTCAAGGGGTTTAGAGAAGTGTGCGACGAGTTGGAGCTTTAAAAGTCAAGCTAAGGCCGGATTAGAGCCCTCGAAAATGCGGCTCTATCCCGCGAAAATGGTGTATCCCGCAAGTCCATGCTAACCTGCAAATTCCTTATGCTATCCTGCGAGTTTTCATCCTCTATCCTGCGAATCTCACATATCCTGCGAGTTCCACCTAGCTAGCGAAATCAACCTGCGAAAATCAAAGACCTACCCTGCGAGTTCGATCTATCTTGCGAGTTTTCATCATTTAATGTGTGTGTTTTAGTGTGTGTTTGTGGTGTAGTTATAAATAGACATTGTGATTTGTTATTTGGAACATAACCCTCATTTCCCAACTTTTAAGTTGGGATAATCCTCTCTATTTTCTTTTTTTCTTTTTTGATGTTTTGGTTTGGAGCTTATGAATCAAGTTTTACGGCGAATTTCCAACGACATTGTTTCGAGTAAAGTTTCGAGCTTTTGACTTCGTTTATCCTTCCAAGTGCGTGTAAGAGTAGGTACTGAGTCTTAAGCCTCATTACTTCGTATATCTTTGTTTGCTTTTGTGAAAATTGATATGTGCTTGTGTTGCTTGGAAGAAAAGATTGAATCTTTAGATCGTGAATGCTTGACTAAGTGTGATTAAGAGTTAAATGCTTGCTCGTTTTGTGCTAGAGTTTGGTTTAGCTTCCTAGGGTTTTAGCTAGCATGACAATGTTCGGTTATTTATGTGTGTTTGATCATGGAGACTCCGGAGAACCAAAATCTCTCATTCCCCCTTGTTTCTCTCATCTTCTTGCGTGTTTTCTCTTGCTTTGTTGATTGCTTTCAATTGCCTTCATTTTCGTAGATAAGTTTAGCTTAAATTCATCCCTTTAAGAGAGTAGCATGTTTAGGAACTTTTCGGTTGTGTGATTTGGCGACTAGATAGTGAACGAAGCTCCGAAGAGCCTTCTTTTGAGAACGACCCGAGTCCGGGTAACTCAGTTACCAATTTCCCAAAAATACTACAAACAACTATCTCGTTAGTAGAAGTAATTAGGGCTTGCTCGTTTTAGGGATTTAATTGCTCGATTAGTTTATTTTTGCTTTCTCATCCATTGTGAGCTCGTTTATTGTGTTTGGGACTAGTTGAAGTGTGAATTGCTATTGGAAAAATCGTGACCTTGATATTTAACTCGGTTATTTCGTAGTAGGATTTCGGCTTTAGCTCTTAAGCATGCTAGATGGAGTTCGTTTCTCTTATTTTCGCTTTTGTTGCTTGAGTTTTAGTTCACCGGTTTAGAAGCTAGGGTTTCTAAGTTCGATTACTTGCTTACTTGCTCGTTACTTGCTTTCTTTAGTCGTAAATAGCTTAAAATCACCTCAAACCAATTTATTAGAATTTTTAGGATTTATTTTCTCTTTTTATGATTTGGACAATTGAATAGTAAACCAAACTCCGAATAGCCTTCCTTTGAGAACTGTGGGAAAAGTAATAAGAAGCAAAAAGGAAAAGCCAAACTGTGATATTCATTTCTTGTTGAGTAGTGTTTGATGAAATTCACATTACAGATCTGTGAGAGCCTATAACATATATAGCCTAGAGTAGATAATTCTAGATACAATGGATAAGGATTGACAAGGACATACCAAATGGGACAAAATTTGAATTTTAAGTGGACAACTCATTTCTCTCCACTGGTGCTACTAAAACCGTTAGAGCATTTTGTCCCTTTGCATGGGGTGCATGTCGTCTGCATGCAAGCTGAGGACGTGGCTCTACTGCTGGCGTCACTGGGCATGATATCATTCCAACACGCCGCCTCAATAACTTGCAACTTATCTCTGAACCGTGTGAAAAATTGCTTGGCCAACGGCTTGGTTAAGACATCAACAATTTGTTCATAGCCCGATATATGTTGGACTGTAACTTGTCTCGAATATACCTTATCTCTGATGAAATGGATGTCGATTTCCACATGTTTGGTTCGAGAATGAAGCACATGATTGAGAGACAAGTGAACTGCACTTAAGTTATCTATCTGCAATAGGGGAATCCTAGGCTGCAATATCCTTAGTTCTGAGAGTATTGACTGAATCGAGCTAACTTCACATAAGGCATGAGCAATAATCCTATATTCAGCCTCAATGCTTGACCGTGACACTGATAGCTTCTTTTTAGAGTACCAGGATACCAAATTTGGTCCAAGAAACACACAAAACCTGATATGGATTTTCTGTCATCAAGATTTGCTCCCCAGTCAGAATCTGAATATGCAGTGATGTGTAGGTTCTCTGATGGCACAAAATGCAATCCATGATCCATGGTTTCTGTTAGATACCTCAATATCCTCTTCACTGCTTTCCAATGGACATTAGTAGGTGTTTGCATGAATTGACTATCCTTGTGCACACTGTATGCTATGTCTGGCCTTGTGATCACAATGTACTGAAGAGCCCCAACAATGCTTCTATATAAAGTTGCTTGAGACAGGGTTGTGCCATCATGTTTGAACAGAAGTGGTGATGATATCATAGGTGTGGCCAAACTCTTTGCTTCAAGCATGTGCAGCCTAGTTAAGAGATTCTTCACATAATGCTCTTGTTTAAGGTGCAGTCCACCAGAAACTTCAGTGACTTCTATGCCAATAAACATGTATGGTGTGCCCATATTTTTTAAAGAAAATCTCTGGCCAAGTTTAAAGGTGAACTTGTTGACCTCTGATTCATCATTTCCAGTCACTATTACATCATCAATATATACTAGAAGAACCACACAAGACTTATCTGTGAACCTGAAAAATAAGGAGGAGTCTGCCTTTGAAGACTGAATACCAAACTCCAGTAATGCTCCATTGAGGGTATGAAACCAGGCTCTTGAGGCTTGCTTTAGCCCATAAATTGCTTTGTGAAGTTCACAGACATAGTCACCCACCTGAACTTCAAAGCCAGTTGGTTGTTCCATGTAGACCTCATTTGTGAGTTGGCCATTAAGAAAAGCATTATCAAAATCTAGTTGTCTAAGGTGCCATGACTAAGATAAGGCCAGTCCAAAGATAACTCTGATGGTAGTGGGCTTGACTACTGGACTAAAAGTCTCATCATAGTCCTGACCAAGAGTTTGAGTAAAGCTCCTAGCCACAAGTCTGGCTTTATGTCTGCAAATAGAACCATCTGAGTTGGTTTTCAATTTGTAAACCCATTTGCAGCTGACAACTGCCTTGTTTGATGGTCTGGGAACAAGAGTCCAAGTGCCATTATTGAGAAGAGCTTCATATTCTTTAGTCATGGCAGTCATCCAAGAACTATGAGCCTTGGCTTCATTAAAGCTGTGTGGCTCAACATCAAGTTCTGTGTGAGCAGAGAAAACTTTGGGTTTGTATGTTCCCACTTTAGATCTTGTGACCATATGATGTGTACCTGCATGTTGGTTAGAAGCAGCAGGAACATAATCTTCAATGGGTAAATAATGAGTAAATTTTGAGCATCATGTATGGGCACTGTATGAGAAGAAGAAGAAGAATGAGAACTATAATTATTTGAAGATGGTGTATGAAGATGAGATGATAGAGGTGAAGGAGGTGTGGTTTTATTAGAGGTAGATCTGTGAACAATGATGGGAGGGGCTGAAAGGGTAATCTGAGGTGAGGTAGGAGATGTGGTGGCAGTAAGGTGTTTGGTTTGATATGGAAAAACCTTCTCATCAAAAAGCACATTTCTAGTGATGATGACTTTTCTGTTTGGCAATAGGACCTTATAACCTTTATATTTGGAGTTGTATCCAAGAAAGACACAAGGCTGAGACCTAAACTCAAGTTGTTTTTGTTCATGGCTTTAAGGTGAGGATAACAAAGGCATCCAAAAGTTCTCAGCATGTTGTAGTTTGGTTTGTGTTTGTATAGCTTTTCAAGGGGTGTTCTGAAATCAAGGAGTTTGGATAGAGTTCTGTTAATAATGTAAACAATTGTAGCAAAGGAATCATCCCAGAACTTCTTAGGTAAGTTTGATTGAGCTAACAAGGAGAGAGCCACCTCAATGATGTGCCTATGTTTCCTCTCAGCAACACCATTTTGCTGAGGGGTGTAAGGGCAGTAAAAACGATGTTGAATGCCATTGGTTTCAAGTAAATTTTGTAAGGCTTGGAACTCACCACCCCCATCTATTTGAAGGATTTTGATTTTTTTGTTAATTTGGTTTTCAGTCAAATTTTTGAAGTGCTGAAAGGCTTGCAAGGTTTCATTTTTGGTTTTAAGAAAGTAGATCCATGTGTATTTTGTGGCATGGTCTATGAAACTCACATAATAAGAGAAGCCATTCTTGGATTTTATTGGGAAAGACCCCCACAAATCACTATGCACAAGAGACAATGGTTGATGATATTCAGAGAGTGAGATACCAAAAGGAAGAACTTTGCTCTTAGCTTTCATGCAGGATTCACATAAACTTTCAGCTTTATTTGATTCAGAATAGGGAACATTACAATTATCTAAATCTTTTCTAATCACACTCAAAGGATCATGTCCCATTCTAAAATGCCAAACATCAAGGCTTTCTCTTTTAACTGAAGCTAAACTAGCTGAAATATTTTTAAATGGAATTTTCTTCAAGGAGGTAGAAGGAAGATTCTTTGAGCAAGGTGCAAGTCTTGGTAGGTTGAAAGTGTATAGGCCATCACTAAGCTTCCCTCTGAGGAGGATCTCCTTTGTTGCTATATCCTTCACAAGGCAAAATTTAGGATGAAATTCAAAAAAGACCTGATTGTCATTAGCAAAATGAGAGACACTCAAAAGATTCTTAGTTATTTCAGGTACATGCAAGAGGTTTTTAAGAACTAAAGGTCTTTGTGCCATGTTTTGAAGCTTAGAATTTATCAAAGATCTAAAAGTGTGAAGAATAGTCAAACCTGCATCATTGGCTACTTGCAGTCTGTTTCCTCCATGATATTCACTTGCAACATTGAGGTTTCTAAGATCATTTGTGATATGGTTGGTTGCCTCTGAATCAGGATACCAATCCTCAGATTGGAAATCATTTGCTGGCCAGTTTGAGCTACCAGAAGTGATGCCTGCATAGAGAGCTTGATTTTGGGCATTGAAATCCTTCTGAGGTGGAAAACCATTGTAGTTGGAGTCATAGCACTAGTAGAAAAAATACTTTTCACATCGGCTGTTTACATCGGTTTTGTCATAACCGATGTAAAAAATACTTTTCACATCAGATGTTGACATCGGTTTTGTGGGAACCGATGTAAACAATAAAGATTGTGACATCCCCGTAATGAAAATATCACTTGGGACATCGGTTATTACACAACCGATGTGAACGATGACACTTATTATATCAGTTCCACAATAACCGATGTCAAAAACTTTAAACAAATGATGTATTTAGAATACATCGGTTCAAATAAACCGACGTGAATGTGGCCCAAAAAAATAGCAGTCTAAATTAATGTGCATCAGTTTAATAAAACGATGTTAGGAAGCCCAAATTTGATGAGCCCGCCAAACTTCCAAACATAATTCTTAAACCTAAATCCGCTAAGTCCATCTTTCTGAAAAATTGATTGCACTCAAAACCCTCCAGTACCGGTTTCGCCTTCACAGTGTTGCTCTCAAAACTCTCCACCATCGCGCCTTCACAGTTCATCGCACCTTCACAGTTCACCGGCGCACTTGCACAGTACATTCACTATTCTCTTCTCTGGACCATCCACAGTTCGTGTACCGCAAGTACAACTCGACCTCCTTCAAGCGACAGTCGTCCGTCGGCTAGCGCGTATTGCCCATTGTCCGTCGATCGCCGCCCATTGTCCATCAACATCCGTTTGACGTTCTTTGGTAAGTCGTTCTTCACAAATTATCTCAACTGAAATTGTCCTCAACACTCACAAACTTTGATCTGGGTCTTGTTTTGCTTTGCTGGTTGAATTTAGTTTTGGTTAATTGCTTGCTAACATATATTTAAATTGGCAATAGTTAGAATTTTGTTAGGATTATAAGTATATAGTTGTAGCTGACGGTTGCTTCTGTAAATGTCTTGCTGCTTGTTGCTGCTTGTCTTTTATTTCTGCAATTCCACCTATTTTGATTAGTAAATGGATAGAAATAAATAGGATTTGAGCTACTCTTTCAGTAATTATATATTACTATGGATCTTTGTTTTCTGTAACTTAGTCAACTGGTTCTTCGTTCAAAAACTGGATAAAGAAATAGCTCTGGTAATGCTATTGGTACTGTACAGAGTACTACTCCAAATATATGTTGTGTACTCCAAATATATGCTGTACAGAGCACTTACACAGTATAAGTAATTGTCCTTGAATGGACTCTACATGTATCCACAATATATAGCTGTTACGATAACCCTAGTTATGTACAAATAAGGAAATTACTTATACACCAAGTATTCACTTATTAATCTACATATTATCATAAGGGTTCCTGTGACAGCGGATGCTAAATATTTAAAATCGAATTTGACGATGTGTTCGGATTCACATAATAGGATTGTAGGACGGAGATAGAATTTTCATTTTCTTTGATTTCTCATTTTGTAATGCAAAGCATATTGTATATACACTGCGGGAAAAAAGTTGAAACTCTTTTTGTGTGGAGACTATATGTCATTTTGGTTCAGTGCTTGTGGAGCATATAAAGATCCCCTCAAGTACTAGTTGGATTTCATTGCGAAGATAGAAGGGAAGTGGAGCCTAGGTAAATCGACTTCAGCCTTATGTAGCTATGGATATGTTTCTATTTATCATAGTCTTTTGTCTGTAGCTAGTGTACATGCTTAAATGTGTGTCCCTAGGCTTCAATATGGATGCTTATGTTTTGTCTTCATTATACTGTATCATTTTACCAGATATTTTGCAGACCTAAGGTAATGAAATAAAACATATCTCATATAATTCTAGTTACACGAATACTTGTCATATTAGCTTGTCATATTAGCTTAGGGGTGGGCAACAAAACCGAATTTCCCGGTACCGAACCGGACCGATATGGTCCCGTTCCGAAAAATAAGGTTCCGAAAGGTTTTAATTATTTTCGTCCCTTTCCCGGTCCCGAACCGTTTTAAACAATGTCGGTATCGGTTTTAAATACTTTTGTCACGAACCGTCCCGTTTGTCCCGTTTTAATTAATTTGTCAAAAATATATTATATATTATAAATATATATATATAATAAATGGTATTTAGTAAAGTAGTAACTAGTAAGTAGTAAACCTGTTCAATGACTCAATGTACATTCAACAACATTCAGTAACAATAATTACACAAGGAGTTAGAGAGAGAATCATACTAAAGTGTCAGAAATACCCCCACTTCATGTACTATTGTCAGCAGTTATAATTCTGAGGGCAATTTGGTAATAAAAAAAAGGAAGGAAGAGATGTCTTCTTCTGTGGACATTCTAATGGGCCAGGTTTCATTGACATTTTATTTCAAAATTAATTTTCAACCTAATGGGCCAAATTAGTAAATGAAAGTCCAGTCCACATTCCACAACATATTTGTAATTAGAATTAGGGTGCATGGTGCTTTCAATTTTGAATTTTGAAATGTGTTTCAGTTTGTGATAATTGTTGTGAAAAATGGAATCAGACACAATAACAATAAGTAGTCTGTGTTGAGTGCTCTATTTGTTTTAAAACAATGTTTAATCAGTATTTATGTATGACTGTATGTGCTCTTTTTGTAATTGGTGTAAGTGAACTTTAGAATCAAATTTTTGTTTCTTTGTGAATGAGTGAATGTGAATGTGAATATGTGATTCTGAAGTGAAGTGAACTACAAATCAAAGTAATAGATATTCGTTTGGTAATCGGTTTGAACTTTTTTAGTTTTTTTTTTTTTTTTAATCCTGGATTTTTGTGCCCGCTCAAAATTCAAACAAGGGGCAATAGCAAGGAAGAGATAGAAGGGTATATTGCGAGAAGAATGGAAGAAGAAAATTACGAGTGTATCTTTGCACCTTACATTAGCGAGTAAGAATATAAAAACATATAAAATTCACTTTATATGTGCTTTATTTTATTTGTATTAACATTATATAGATATACAAATTAAAAAGTGTACCAATTAAATACATTTATCTTCTGGATTGACAAAGAACATTGGCAGTTGATGATACTTTGTCCCAAACAAAATCAAGTGGTTTGGTTGTGCTCGTTGAGAAGAAATCCCAGCATAGAGTTGATGAACAAGATTAACAGGTATGTTTTTAAATTGATAAATTAGATCGATTTTGTAGTTAACTTTTCTTTGCTAATTTCAAATATATTATCTTTTACATTTTAGCTTATTTTGTCTTTTAAGTAATATGAATGTTTTTTATGTTGCAGTGCATTTCGTACATACTTCATGGTTAAGGGAAAACGTAACCTTAGAACAGAGAAGCCTAAATGGGTTTGACTTAAGGTAAATTTAGTGAATGATGTTAGTTGTTTTTATTTTGGGGAGTTATATTATTTCCTTCTTGGTTGTATGCATCGATTTAGTTTGTGTAGTATAAATGATATTTTTATGTTTTTCATACAAGTGTAGAAAACAATTGGGAGATGAAGCATGTGGATATTTTGTCATGCGGTATATGCTCGAGATTATATCACTTGACATTACCAACTCGTTCGAAGAGGTAAGTTTTAATGAAAATCAACTTTTTGATGTATTTGAAATCGCACAATTCAATACAGGTTATAGTGATAATATTTGTTATTGTATCATGTAGGCTTTCAACATTGATGAGCCATATTCGGACGAGGACATTGAAAATATAAAAATGAGGTGGGTGAAGTACTTTCTT